AAAAAGAAATCAGACAAACATCACCCTTTACAATTGCCACAAACAGCATAAAATACCTTGGGGTAACACTAACCAAAAATGTGAAAGACCTGTACCATAAGAATTTTGAGTCTCTAAAGAAAGAAATTAAAGAAGACACCTAAAAATGGAAAGATCTCCCATGCTCTTGGATAGGTCGGATCAACATAGTAAAAATGGAAATCTTGCCAAAAGCAATCTATAGATTCAATGCAATCCCAATCAAAATCCCAACACAATTCATCACAGACCTTGAAAGAACAATTCTCAACTTTATATGGAGAAACAAAAGACCCAGGATAGCCAAAACATCCCTATACAACAAAGAAACTTCTGGAGGCATCACCATCCCTGACTTCAAGCTCTATTACAGAGCTATAGTCCTGAAAACAGCTTGGTATTGGCACAAAAATAGACTGGTAGACCAATGGAATAGAATTGAAAACCCTGATATCACCACACACACCTATGAACACCTGATTTGTGACAAACAATCCAAATGTATACAATGGAACAAAGAGAACATCTTCAACAAATGGTGCTGGCATAACTGGTTGCAGACATGTAGAAGACTGCAGTTAGACCCAAGCCTATTGCCTTGCACAAAACTCAAGTCAAAATGGATCAAAGACCTCAATATCAATCCAACTACACTGAACTTATTAGAAGACAAAGTGGGAAATACCTTTGAATTAATTGGTACAGGAGAATGCTTCCTGAAAATTACACCAGTAGCACAGATACTGAGGTCAACAATTGGTAAATGGCACCTCCTGAAACTGAGAAGCTTCTCTAAGGCAAAGGACACAGTCAGAAAGACAAAATGGCAGCCCACAGACTGGAAAAAGATATTCACCATCCCCTCATCTGACAGAGGACTGATATCCAAAATATACAAAGAACTCAAGAAGCTAGTCTCCAAAACACAAAACAACTCTGAGATACCATCTTACTCCTGTCAGAATGGCCAAAAACAAAAACACCAATGACAGTTCATGTTGGAGAGGATGTGGAGAAAGGGGAACACTCCTCCACTGCTGGTGGGAGTGCCAACTTGTACAGCCACTTTGGAAATCAGTATGGCGACTCCTCAAAAAAATGGGAATCAGTCTACCACAAGATCCAGCAATTCCACTCTTAGGCATATACCCAAAAGAAGCACATTCATACAACAAGGACATCTGTTCAAAGATGTTCATAACAGCACTATTTGTAATAGCCAGAAACTGGAAGCATCCTAGATGATCCTCAACTGAAGAATGGATAGAGAAAATGTGGTACATTTACACAATAGAGTATTACTCAGCGGAAAAAAACAATGGAATCTTGAAATTTGCAGGAAAATGGATGGATCTAGAAGAAACCATTCTGAGCGAGGTAACACAATTGCAAAAAAAACATGGTATGTATTCACTCATATGTGGATTTTAGACATAGAGTAAGGATTACCAGCCTACAATCCACACTGCCAAAGAAGCTAATAAACATCGAGGTCCCTAAGAGATACATACATGTTCCCCTGAAGAAGGGGAGAGGTTCAAGATCTGCTGAGCAAATTGGGAGCACGGAAAGAGGGGGGAGGCAGGTAGGAGAATGAGAAGTGGAGAAGAAGAGGGATGCCAAGGACAGGAGGGAGCAGAAAATATGAGTCAGGGAAGAATACACGATAACAAGAATGGAGATATCATAATAAGGGAGACATTTTTGGTTTACAGAGAAATCAGGCCCTACGGAAATGTCTGGAGATCTACAAAGATGACACCAGCTAACTATCTCAGCAACAGAGGAGAGGCTACCTTAAATGCCCTCCCCTGATTATGAGATTAATGACTGACTTATATGCCTTTATCCAGAAGCTGGTGGAAGTAGAAGCAGACACCCATAACTAATCACCTATCTGAACTGGAAGCCAGATGCAGAGAAGGACCAGTGAAGATCACAGTGGTCCAGACCACACTGGTGAAACACACAGAAACAGCTGACCTGAACATCCGGGAACTCTTGCTCCCCAGTCTGATAGCTGGAAAACCAGCATGGGACTGATCCAGACCCCAGGAAAATGGGTTTCTGTGAGGAAACCTCAGAAATCTATGGGACCTCCTGTAGGAGCCCAGTATTTATCCCTAGCATAGGTGTGGACTTTGGAAGCCCATTCCATATAGAGGAATACTCCCTGAGCCAAGACACAAGGGGGTGGGCCTAGGCCCTATCCCAAAGGATACGAAAGACTCTGATGACGCCCTATGGAAGGCCTCACCATTAGGCCTCACATATCACAGAAAAGATATGTGACAGATAAGGTTTTAGTTTTGGGGAGCGAGTAAGGGAGGACGGGTGGGAGAAGGGAAATGGGATTGTCTTGTAAAACAATCCTGTTTCTAATTCAAATAAAATAAGTTAGAAAAAAAGAAAAAAACAGAAAAAGGAAGAAAGAAGAGTCTCCCCTTTCTCCTGCCTCATGTTTCCCCCAGCTAGAGTTATCTGAAACTTCTTTGTAAGTTGTTTGCATTTACACAGGAGTTTTAAGAAAGGAAAATGAAGAGGGAAGAAGGGGAGAGGAAGGAAGAAGAAATTGTTTAAGTTTTCATTATTTCCTGCCTTCCTCTTACTGCACTGCTCTTTTATTTTCTTCACGACTACCTGTGTGCTTTCTCACACAGACTGTCCTACCCCACGCCCATAACTGGAAGTCAGTTTATTCCTAATGATGAGTAGTCCAATTAGTTGTATGACTTCACTTCAGTTTCTGCCATAAAGTGTGCTTTCCATTTTCGAGTTTCACATTCAGGAAAATGTACTTACATGCTACAGGAAATATTAACTTGATTATAACTTGATTAGCTTACAAATTATATGGGGAGCCATGCTGCACACTCTTCAGTGATCCAGCCTTGCAAGGGGTTTCACAGCCTGATAAACTTGAGGCAGTTGGGGTTGGTGTAGTAACATGTTAGGAAATTACTTTTTATTTATAAAGAAAATTTGCAAAGAATTTAATAAGCATTGAGTTTGATACAGGAGAACTAAACTTCAGTATGGACATCTGACACTTAGGAGACTTTCATCATCAGTAGACAGTGATTCTCTGTCTGACTGAAGAGTAGAAACATTTCTGACCTCTATCCTTTCCAACATTTCACTCCATTGTTATTCTTGCTGCTTCCCATAGTTGTGCCTTGGTTTTGTTGTTGTTGTTTGCTTTGTTTTGTTTTTGGAAGTGAGCCTTGTTTAACTCAGGCTGACCTTGAAATTGCTATTTGGTTGATAATGACCCTCCTTCATCAGACTCATGAGCTCTACTCTTGTTTTGTTGCAGAAGAGTCTCAGTGTCTTATCCCTTACAATTTGGGTTTGCGAGATGATTGGCTTAGAAAATCAATAATTTATTTTAGATTTTGCTTAGATTAGCCTACAAGAGATGCCTCTAGAACTGGACATTCATTCTTTCCTCAATCAATTTTGCTAGCGAGAGGCGAATCATGTGACATCTACTGCTTAAGCAAAGCTCTGTACTAAGCAGTGGGCAACCAGGAAGAATAACACTGACCTCACTCACCTCACACCCAAGCACAGGGATTCCCATTATTGTTTCACAGCAACAAAAGATACATAAGAATTATAGATGGATTTATTTTCTTGTGTTTTTATATGATTGGAAGGGTTTAGCTCTTCTACAGTTGACATTAGACAACATTCTTTCTGTGTCACAGGATCCCATTCTTAGCAAAATTTATAATCAGTTTAGAATTATATTTTTCTTTTAGTTCAGCAAGAGAAAAGAGAAATATGTATATGTGTTTTGAAACATTATTTTTGTACAAATATTTGTGAATTAACAAAGACCATTATGAAAATTTACAATATAAATTTTTAACCTATAACTATCAAATTGGGAAGATCATTCATGTTTATTGAATTATAGATGTAAATTCCCAAGAGTAAAATATTGATATTAAATTATGTATCATATAATCAATAATAAATGAATGATTTACATATAATTTAATTTTTATTTTAACCATGGACAAATGAAAATTCAAATGAACAAATGACTTAAGAGACAGTTCTTTAAGAAAATCAACCACTTTAATACACATTATTATAAAAGCAAAAAGAAACATGTTTATATCAATATACATGCTCATGAACCTTCATTCAAAATTCATGCTCAAAATTGAATTGTGTTAAATTCAGATTAATTGCTAACTGACTAGGTGAATTCAGGAGTTTTGATATATGTCCATTGTGGGGGACCGAATATCCCTGTTATGGAATATTTTGGGTCCCAGGCTCTGGCTGCTATAAGCAGAGGTGGTGGTGCCAGGGAGCTCCAGGCCACCATTGTATTGTTAATTAACACTAGGCTGTTACTGTTCACCATGGCCTAAGGTGACATGCCTCCTAATTTGCATCTCTGCAGCTTAAGCCTTGAGTAGACCCATACCTGGGCTGAAGACTCTGCCTGCATGACCAAGAGTTGTTTAGGTAACAGAATCACTTGATGTTAGTGATATGCATTATGATAAATGCTTCCTGATGTTGTCCCTGCCCTTGGAAGACTATTTAAATGGACTTCTCAATAAACTGTGGCTGCTCGAATCAGCTCGGAGCCCTCCTGAGATGATATGGTGTTTCCTGTCTCATCATTAGCGTCCCTAGTCCACACACCTCCACTCAGAATCGGACCCGGGATTATACGCTGGCTCCGTTCACAGTCCTGAAGATGTTGGTCCGGAACAGTCCGTCAACTATTTCTGACACTTCATTGATCCAGGGAAGTGCTTCTGTGTGTGTTTGTCTTACTGGATGATAAAAAGTCCTGTTTGGCCAAAGAGGCAGCAAGTTAGGTGGGACTAGGAGTCAAGGAGGATTCTGGGAAAGGTAGTAAAGAAGTGGTGATCCACGAAGGAAGTGACATAGCAGGGAGACTCATAAACAAGGTCAAGAAGGAAGTGGGCCCCCTTCTCTCTTCCTTCTGTTCTCTGCTCTGGAGTCACTATGTGATCCACTGGCAAGAGAGGGCACCAGCAGAAGATATCTTCTATAAGGTAAGTCTTATAAAATATATAGATTAATGGTAATTAATACTGAGCTAACAGATGAGAAATCCTAGCCATTGGCCAAGCAGCATTTGTACCTAATATAAGTCTCTGTATATTATTTGGGGCCCTAACTCGGCAGGCAGAACTCAGACAGCTGGCGGAAAGCACCCACGTGGTAGTAGGGCTCGGGTGGCTTTTGGTGGAAAGATTTATCGTAACACTTTATGTCCATAAAAAATGATAATAATCAAACATTCTCCAGGGTTGTTTTGACATTGTAAATTTGACAAAATACAAAAATGTTTAAGGACTAAATTTAGAGAAATCTTTCCAAATTTTATTCTATAAAGCACAGTCACTTCCTCATTACAGATGCTTTTATGTTCACAGAAGATCAGTCAATAAATTATATGCCCAGTTGGCTGCTTAGTAACCTGATGAAGCCAAGGAGATATTTTCAGTCCAAAATTATTATAAAAATGTTTAGAACACTTTCTAATACCTTGAAATCATTCAATGCAAATTAGTTTCCAGTCATTCTGAACTTTGTGTTAGGAAGAGATGTTTATATGTTCCCTTGGCTGTTTTCTCTAGGGTCACTTCAGAAAGTAAAGCCACTAATTTAGAAATTCTTCATGTTTCATTACAGTGATAAGGAAGAATTAATTTAATCTGTATAAATTTACCTTAAATTTGATCAATATAAACTCAATAAATGCAGGCCTAGAGGCTTATGAGGAGTTGTTCAGAGGCCGTGGTGGAAGCCGTCCCACCTTGCGCTTTGAGAACATTCCTGTGCTTGTTTGAGTCCACTATGGTCCCCTGTTGCTATTGGATACAGGCTAGAGGCATCTTCTCATACGTTGAGATGTTGTATGCGTCATGGGAAGATAAGGTCTTGAGAGACTTGAATGTTGAATGCAGGTTTTTAAAATGTGAAACAAAGGAAATGTAAAATGTTAATGGAAACCTGCGTGAACAAGAGGTACCTGGACTAGCCTTAAAAAAGGAACTGAGAAATTTTTACAAGAAATTCTTAGTGTTACACAGTCCAATATCAGAACTAATGCAAGGAAAGTTTTAGGCAGAGCTCAAACCTGGAAACTCAGAAGGGAAAGAAGTTACTGGGGAAAATGGCATCCATGTCAATACATTATAAGTTGATGGAGGAAGAAAATAAATTACATCTAAGCATATAATTTTATATTGTGTTGTGTGAAGTAGGAGAATAGAGCACAAAGGTGAGTGGGGGTGGGTCCTGATCAAGTGTTCAAGATTGGGGCTCACTTTCTTGTGAATGTATTACTGAGATTAAAACAAAACAGACTGCCAGTTAGGTGAAGGGGCAGTGGCATGCCCAAGGGCCCCTGGCAGAGAAGACACACTTGAGAATGTGAAAGAAGGCACACAGCACAACACAAGCCTGCAACCAGACAGTTTTAGTAGCAAGGAGGGGGTGTTCTCATGCCCTTTGTTGTCAAAGAATAAGTGTGATGAAGTTGTGATACCACTAATAATGATGTCTCCTGACCCAAGCAATCACAGTTATACTCCAAGCAGGCTCTCCTAGGTATCCTATTAGAGCAGAACTCAGGCCTGGGAAGATAGATAGCTCAGTTTACAAAGTGCTTGCCATAGAAACATGAGAACAAAGATTCAATTGCCAGCACCCATGTAAAAAGGTTGGGGTGGTGGCACGTGCTTACAATGCTGTTACTGAAGAGGCAGACAAAGCAAATCTTGGGCTCACTAGCCAGCTAGCCTGGCCTAGGCTCCACAGAGAGATTCTGTCTCAAAATTCAAGGTGAATGTTTCTTGAGGATTGACACCTCAAGTCTCTACATGCACATATACAACTCTGTGCATACACAAGGATTCACATAGGCAAGCATGCGCGCACGCGCGCGCACACACACACACACACACACACACACACACACAGTTGTTTTGTAAAGGTAGACCTGGGAGAGAAAGGTCTGCTATTTTCTAACACAGGCATACTTCTCAGCAGGCATGTGGAGGCAGGGGAAGGAGATGTGGTGCACTTTAGGCTACCAGTTATGCAAACTGCTCTCACCTGGAAGCCCATTATAATTTTACACTTGGGAGAATTATCTATCACAGAGTAGAAAAATGCAAGGTACTTAAAGCCCTGCACAATAGTTTGAATGAATATAAACAGTTTGCATTCGTAGGGTCTAGTGTGGCCAGTTCATTTTGAGGTTAGCCTGCTGCAAAAGTTTCTCCATCCCCACCCATTTTTCTGCAGGAAGTATAAAAGACTAGACTAGATAAATAAAAATCCATCCCTTAAATTAAACATGAAGAGAGGCTAGACAGTTAGGTTTGGTGACTGAGTATAAGGAGGTTAAGAAATGAATTGAAAGGGACCAAACACAAACAATGGGTTATGAGGAAAGGCTCAAGGCAGGGAGGGTCCCCATGGAACACAGAAGATATTTTCCCAGTGGTCTAAACCAGTTGTTCTCCAGGTGTGGCCATCAAAGCAGAAATATCTTTATTACCCGGGAGCTGGTTGGGGATGAAGACTCCTAGACTCTGGTCCTAAGGCTGCATCTGGGAATTCCATGCTCATAGAAGCTTGATAGCACTTGCAGGTCTAAAGTGTGATTACCTCTAAGAACCAAGAATAGGTCAAAACTTTGGTCAATGGCCATCTGCCATGGGTCTGTGTGAAGAAATGAAAACTCTAAAGTGAAAATGTTTCCTTTCTTGTTTCTATGTGTGCAGCACATCCTTCATCAGGAGGGTTACCACAGGGTTTGTATTAAACTTCTTTCCATTTCTGAGGGTTAAATTGTATCTGCCTTTGTGAGGGTACTTTGTCATGAAATAATAATGTGTAATTAGGTGGTAGCTTCCCAATTGAAAATATTTTCAATGCCATCAGTCAACATAGTGTAGAACCCATTAAAAGCAATGAGGTAGTCATAGGGACAACGCAGCAATTGAATGAAAATGATTAGGAAATTTTAATTTTTATTCTTTTTATAAGTATTGCGTGGTTTGCTTGCACAAAGTCACTGTGCTCTATTCTGATAAAGAATGAATTGTGGAACCTCTTCCATTTTTAAATAATGTGGTGTCTGTGTGTCCTTCTGATCATAGGGCAGCCAACACTGACTCTAACAGGATATAACTGACGAAATCCGAGAGGGAGGGTGGAGAAGAAGAGCATGGGTGGCTAAAGAAATGGGAAAGAAGCTGTGTTCTTACTCAGAAAACACAACTTTCATTAAATTTGTATGCACTGATCATCAGGAAGCAAAATTTGATGTCTTTAAGTAAGTCAGATCAAATGCAGAGTTAATTGAACTACTACCCAAGCATATTTGTGGATATTCCAGGCAAATGGCTGTGATAATCTAGTCAGATGATTGTGGTAGTCTAGTAAGATGGCTGTTGTAGTCTAGTCAGATGGAAGTGGTGGTCTAGTCTGATAGCAATGGTAGTCTGGACTATAGCTTGGTTTCTGGATCACAGTTTCTTAGCAGAGTCAGCTTGGTAACTTAACTTTTCAATGTATTTGCTCTTTTATTTTCAAAATAGGTATATCAGCATCCATATGAAAAACTGGTATGAATGTTCAGAGACATTGTTCCTAAAATGGTGGTCAATAATTTTGTAACTGTATTAATAATAAGCTTGGTAGTTTGTATTTTAAAGGAAGCCTAAGGAGTTACACAACACAAAATCTAGTCCTTCATAACCTAGAATGGGCTTCATCTACAATCTCACCCAAATACATTAGCCATGTGATTCATTACTCAGTGAAAATTTACCACATTGATTCACTGAAAGGACAGGCATGGATTTGTTGGTAATGTTATATGAGGTGGATTTAGGCAAGCCATTTGGGATAATCCAGGAAAATTGCAGCCAGCTGATAGAAGTCTTCTCCACATGGAGCTGGTTTTACTCTCATCTTCATGCCTGTTGGTAGCAGCAAAATATCTCATTAACTTCATCCTTCTGGCATCCACCTGGCCTTGCACTGCTGGACCATGAGCTCCAGTGATGTCATGCTTTGATCTTTGAGTTTTAATGTCCATCTGTTGCATGATCCTAGTTTGGAGCCCAGAATGATGAGAAAGAAAGCCCTTCAATTAACACAATAAACTGATTATTTTTATTAAGTAATGTCTAAAAATAGACATGCTCTAACGATTTCAATAGATCCAATAGTGATAACATCAAATTGTGTTTGCTTGCCCATGAGTAAACTAAAAGAAAAGTGAGCCTCTTCACACTTCCATTTGTCACTGTCCATATGTTAAAAATAAAAACAAACAAAACAGCACAATTAATCTCCAGCTCTCAATAATCAAGTAAAAAAGAAATGAATTGTGGATTCTGAATAAGCACTGTCATATAAAAACAAAAGGAAAACTGAAGACATATGACTGACAAGATAAAAGAATAATGAGAAAAAAATTGTTGAGGCATTGTAGTGCTTGACAGCTCTCCTTCTCAACTGAGCCAAAGAGGAGAAGATTTTGTGGTAAGTATTGCAGGCAGAATCGCTGGGCACATGTGGGACTGCACACATCTGGCATACAGGTGTTCATTTGGACTTTGCCATCACTCCAAAAAACAGTCAGACATTGTCTGTTTAAATTGAGAATTGTGTGAGGACCAGTGGAATTCAGTGTTAAATGTCAAGCACACAACGTATTTATTTAAGTCAGAGTCACTGAGGAGTTGCTGTTGGATCTTTTGGAGTTAATTCTATACAGTTGAAAATGTTTAATGAAAATGAGACAGAACCCAGATATCTCTCTCTCCCCATCTCCCTCCCTTCCTCCCTTCCCCCTTCCTCCTTCCCTCCCTCCCTCCATTCCTCCTCCTCCTCCTCACTCTCTCTCTCTCTCTCTCTCTCTCTCTCTCTCTCTCTCT